TATATATGTTTTTGTCCGCGTCCCCGCAGGTGTGTACGTGTGCGCTTGTTTGTGCATACTAATCTTATTTTTAGATGGGCAGATAAGGTAAACCAGGAGTTGGGACATTTTAGAGGCTGTATGGGTACAATGATGATTTTGGGTAGTGCGCGACGTACACAGTTTACATCAGGCAGATGTGGTTGAACAGATGAGGGATTCGGACGGGCCAGCTTTCACTTATTGCGACCTCGTGTGTCTGTATCTCAGTCATATCATCACCGCATTATCACCTCCAATTCCTTTGCATACGCGTATTTACACAAGCTCTCGCACGCAGACGCGGACCCACACGCCGCATACCTTTGCATAATTCTGGTGGACACGATAATGAAACCCTCCAACCTCCAATAATGCAATCTCATGCAGGCCTTTCCCATATTGCCCCCAACCCACCGCTTCTGGGTAATTCCGTCTGCTGCCTCCTTGCGATTTCCACTTATTGGACTAGTCACAACCCTTTATAGTGCGCATGACGACCTCTGATCCACCCCCTTCTGATATAGGCATGGAATACACATCTGGGCCCCACAGGCCAATCTGATGCAGCTTCGGGCATGGATCACATCGCCAAGGCGACAGATAGAAATATACTACCGAAGGCGAGCCATAAAGCGGGTGGATGTCGGGGTTGGCGTTTAATGGGCTTGCGCAGTATATTGATTGCCGTCTTTACTGAGGCTCTATCGCCCGCACAACGCTTTTTCCTTCTATCCCCTTCCCTTCAGCTTCTGTTGCCCTGGCGACACTGATGAGGTGGCTTGTCCGGCAGTTGAATCTATTGCCATGCCCAGTCTCATCACTAGGCGAGCAACACGCCAACAATATTCGCCCGTCTTTGGTATATGTCTGATCTGTGCGATAATCTCCGGTGGCACAAGAACTTGCATTCTCAATGCGTCTTTTTCGACGATCAGAAAGTATTCTTTAAGAAGCAAGCCTCCCCATATTCGTTCTGGGCAAAATCCAGTCGAGGCGGCCTCTTCGATCCTCATACACATTACATTTGCGAACTAGCAAATGCGTCTGCGAAAGGCGACTTACAATTATTTGTATATTTTTGTTTCTCCTATGACAATTTCGGTCCGGTTTCGCAGAATGTCTTTAAATCCGTCCTGGGGCCATGGTTTTTTTTCAGTTTCTATCAATAGAATGAGTGGATACAGAGTGGCTATGATAGTTCGAGTATCAGAGCTGTCATATGCTATGACAGGAGATGACCCTCGATATCCGTTTTGTTCTTTTATCTGAAAATGCTGGCCCAGCTAATTTACAAGGCATTTCCGCTTGCTACTTCCGACATCCATGACAATATTTTGGCTCGATTCAATTTCTAAAAGGTGGCTGGAGAACAGTTCGTGACTTGTCACCGCCCACACTTATTTCAAGGTATCATTTTTCTTATATACTTTCCAACTTGTTTTTTGTTTCTATCTAGACAGATCGTAATGTTTACTTCCTCGTCCGAGCCCTATTACTTCATCAACACGCCTCTGGGTGATCATTATTGCTGACACGATGTCTCCAATATTCTGCCCATTTCCCAGGCACAAATACAGGCTGATTTTAACCAAGGACCATCTTAGGAGTGTTTTCGACCCTGTCCTCATATAAAACATGATCTTAGCTTTCTCTCATGGCCCAAACTTCCTTGCCCCGTAGGCCGTTGGATAATCGCCTAAGCAGGCCGAATTGTACGTACGTTATATATACGAGGAAAATGCGGGTTTCGAAGAATTTCCTCAGATAAGGTTGATGCGAAGACTTTTATTTCGTATGGAATTACATGATGAAGAGATTCGTAGATCAATCTCACCAGAAGATGTCAGCTGATTCGCGCTGTTCTGCGGCTGTTTTTCATGACTACGAAGTTCAGGTTGATGCGGTTTACAAGAAAGCTCCGGGTATTATAAGATTATGTGCTCCTGTGGTCGACCTTATGTTGGCGGGATTTGTCGGCCGT